CGAGAGCAACCCACGTTGCCAAAGGTTTTGGTTATAAGAGATGATTATTCTTCATTCATGAAGCGCCTTTATAGGCTAGGAAACTGTACTGGCTTTAAATTACTGTGCTAATCACGAATAAAGCAGTCATCTAATTCTCAAATGAACCAAAATATTTCAAATACAGAGAGAGGCATTAACGACTGTGAAAGTATATAATGGTAACTAGAGAATAATCAGAGGAAGAAATAAATGAATTACCGACGATAGAAACTTTTAATCGGTTCTTCCTCCCAGAAAATTGCAATTAATGGGAAACCAGCTGCTTTCAACTCAACACGAAAATTCCCAAAGATAATTCGCTCTACTTTCAATATCGGTATTTGCTGCATGTTTAAATGATTAAATACCCAACCATGCTTTCCATAAAATATTTCAAAACGAGAAGTACTGTACAGTTCTTCAGAAATTGAAAGAGACGCCCACTTTTGTTGGTTTGAGGAATCAGGAGGATATTCTCGTGATCCAAGTTCGAAAATTAAATACTGTACTAAGATCATGGCAGAAAAAAAGGGAGAAATCTCATTTCGCAGTTAATTCATGCTTCAGGTCAGGACAGAGCTTTCATTACACAGAAGCAGTGGCTGGAAATATTTATAATACAAGGGTTGTCCCACTTGTGCGCGACCTTTGTTATTTGTAGAATAGGTATGACTGTAAAAAAATATGATATGGCTTTTGATGCTGCAAGGTTCTGGGATTTTTTCATTTTATTTAAAAAATAATAAATTACTGTATTATTATAAATGAAAACTGTCCAGTTACAGCCAGAGTTCTCCACCCATGCAAACGGGGTGCTAAAATTTTGTTAGGCCAACTGAAAAGTGAACGTAATTTTGTTTTAACCATCATCTAAAATGTAAAATATAGTGGTTAAAACAACATTAAATTTCACTTTTACAGTTGGTTGCAGGGTGCTGAAAACTTTCTCACTTTCTCACAGAGTGCTAGTAATTTTTCAGGCCAACTGAAAAGGGAACTCAATTTTGTTTTAGCCATTTTCTAAAATTTAAAAAAGATAGTGGTTAAAACAAGGGTAAATTTCACTTTTATACTGCTGGTCGCAGGGTGTTAAAAACTTTCAACACCCTGTGACGTGGGAGGTGAACTTTGGCTGCAACTGGAAAGTTTTCAATCATCATCATGCTGCAGTAAATTTAAAAATTCTTTCAAAATCTTTTTAAAAATCCCAGAACCTCAAAACATCATGGGCTATAACATAATACCTTTTTAAAGTTATACCTCCTCTAGAAATAACCAAGATCTCGCTCAAGTGGGTCAACCCTCTCTTATAGAGCCAAGTTAAAGGTTAGGCCTGATTTTTTTTTAAATAAAGGAGCCTATATAGAAAAAAAGAACCATAACATGAAACGGAACTTGAGGAGGGTACAGTATCAAGCTTCTTAGACAATTCTAACACAAAGTTGCCCACTTGAAGAAGAAAAAAAAGGAAGGGACGGGTGTGGGAGGTTTCGATAAGAGCAACAAGCACACCCCCCTCTATATAGCTGGGTCCAAAAAGCCTGCCCCCGGCCGGGCCAGCAATGGCGCCCCGGAAAGAAAACCTCCAGGGATCCTGAGGATTGATGAGGCAATTACCGCTACGTAATGCAGTTACGGGTTAAACCGGGCAAAGGGGGGGGGGGGAGAAAGACCCATGGTGAAGAGGAAGGGGGCAAGAAGGACCCCACGAGGTGGGGAGGCATGCAAGTGCATTGCAGCAGCTTCCTCTCTCTTCTGTGGTGCTAACTGGCCCGGGTTGGCCCATGGTTGATTAATGCGGACCGAGGCCCCCTCAAAAAAAAAAAAAAAAAAAAACCCCGCCTCCCCCCCCCCCCCCNGTCCTGACCTGAAGCATGAATTAACTGCGAAATGAGATTTCTCCCTTTTTTTCTGCCATGATCTTAGTACAGTATTTAATTTTCGAACTTGGATCACGAGAATATCCTCCTGATTCCTCAAACCAACAAAAGTGTGCTTCTCTGCCATTATCCGGGAGCGCCGGCGGATCCGCAATTTGCCCCCCGCCAGTGGTGCCCGGCCCGCATTCCACACTCCCAGAGTTGCCGCATCTTCAAAACAACAAACCCCCCCCCCCCCCCCACATCCCTCCCAGGGACAAAAAAGCACTCGCATTTGGAAAAGGATCTGAGTAATTCAGTATACAGTCAACCCCTCCTCATCATAATACATGCCAGATGAAGTGTCAATTAGCCTGGTTTTAGGACCTATTCATGGGCAATTAAGCAAAGAGGGATTAACCACAAATCCCAGGTTTTTGGGGTTGTGAAGTTGCTACAGTGCACTTTGCCAAGTCACATCAAGAGGAACTGAAAAACGATTTTTGACTATATGTGCCCATTTTTTGTGGAGTATGGCCTGATGTGTGTTGGTTGATGAATTACAATACTGTATTTACTCGAGTACCATAAGCACCTTTCTTTCTAAAAATTGAGAAGAAAAACAGGGCGCAATTAATGGTTAGGTATATACATTCATAAAACAGTTTTAGAAGTTTAGAAGTGCATCACATTTGCTTTTAATGGGAAAGTTTGGGCCAAATTTAGCAGAAAAAATGCATTGCAAAGAAAATGATTGAAAATTAGTTAATCCATGTCTAAATTCAAATTTGGGTGTTCTCATTTTTGAAATATAGCAGTTATAGAGTCACTGAATCAGCAGCAGTAGCAGTATAGTAAGGCACTGTGCGCCTTACTCAGGAATTTGAATTTTTTTCAACTGAAAAACCCTAGTACAGTAATATAGTATGCATCTTACTTGAAGGTGTGTGGTACTCCAGTAAATATAGCAGATGATTTTCTGGAATAATCTATGTTAGAAGAACTGGACATAATTTGTGGATGCCTTACTACCTGCAGGAAGTTGCCAAATCCCTTGCAGAAAGCATTTAACCCTTGGGCAGCAAAGTTGAACTATTTTTGCAAAATTTTGTTGCACCTTGGATAGGTAAAGAAAAAAAGTCAACAGAGGGTTATGGGCAAAGTTGGGAAAAATCCCAATGTTTTTTCCCTGGGCACAGAAAATTTTTGCAGAAAAATTTTAAAAATGCTCAGTTAGGCTACGTGTTTTTTTTTTTTTTTTTTTTTTTCCTGACTCTGCCTCAGCCCACCTGGAAGGGTTTTTGTGACCTTCAAAAATCTGAAAATGTGGGAGGATACAAAAATAATCTGACTCCATCCCGCTATGGGAAAGAACCCTCCGCCGTCTAAGGGTTAAATAAAATATTGCATATTTTCTAGATTTTGAGATTGGATGTTCTGAAATTGAGCCCCAATTTCATATAACAAGGGTGCAATATATAATGGAGATTAGAGTCAACAAGTTTAGATTCATATAGGATTTGTTTGCTTTGGGGCAGGTTTGATGCAATTTTTTTTCGAATGATTCTCTATACAACAGATCACTTTGAGGATAGTCCATGCTCCCTGCCAGCAATTCACAATAAAATGAAAAATATGCACCCATTAAACTTTAAGAACAGAAAATTGAAAAAAAAACAATTGACTTGATTGTTTCTTTCTTATATTAGCAGCTGCAAATATAGTTTTATTTCACTCACGCAACCACAGTCACATAAGGAAATGCCAACTAAACCCGTTCAAAATAATCTAAATTATGTTTTCTTTTCTCTTTGAATCAGGGTCTCCTTTTGATCCATTCATTTGCATGACTCGTTTCATTATTCTGTTCCTAATGCAAGTTTGAGGACAGTTTTTACAAAAGTGTCAGTTATTTTGTGCTACGCCCTCATCAACGTGACACGAAAAAAACAATATTTTTCAGGCCTAGTTTTATCAATTCCCTTGGCTCCCGTAGAGATTTGCACAATTTCTCGTCAACCTCTGTGATATGACTTCGGAACATTGAAAGAAAGTATGTAATATAGCGGTATGTAAGACTACGTGTTATTAACTCATCGTTTTACGGATTTCACCGTTGCTATGGATGACTTTTTATTTGGAAAAGCTAAGATGAGCGAGGCTTTGGAAACAATGATGAGTTTTACAGCACGTTCTTGCATAATAAAACCGGAGGTTCATCGGATTTGACTGATGTAGGGTGTATATTCTCAATTTGCAGAAGCCAAAGAAGTGGTGCAAAGAACTTCTGCTGAATTCATGAATTGATTGAATGATCATTTTCAATTTTTTTATTTTATTACTATAGGCTTGGAAACTTTAAAGGTGCAGAGTACGCCTCACTCAGAGAACTACTTCAATGACACTCTTCTTGAGTTCATCCCGCTTAAAGCCAGTTCAATACAGACAACTCCTTAAAAGTATGTTCTTCTCGATGGGGAAAAGCCTCAATGTTTTTTTTTTGACCGGAAAGTTATTGAGTGATTTCATTTCCGGTTTGAATGCTGTTTTTTTTGTTGGTCCGTTTTTCAAATGAAGTCAACTTGGAATTTCCTGATCCAATCTGATTCGATCTCCTCGACAAGTTGACGTGACCCATATGAGAATTAATTCCAACCAGCGAGATCGTTGAAGCGGAATATTGAAAGAAAATAAAACCATGAAAAAGGTTCGTTCGACGAGAGGTTTATAATGAAGCATTGAGAAAAATTTTGAAACCGTTGAGACGTCCGTCCTTCGTCTTTTAAAGCAGGCGACTTACAGGCTCTTTCTCTTCTTCTTTTTGAGCAGGCTAACCAGAGGTCAGAGGGGGAGAACGGGCTTTTTGTTTTTGTTCGTGAGTTTGAAAAGCAGTCATCAACTTTTATTTATTACATATAATATATAAATATTTTTTCTCCCTTCAGGCCGCTCCACCCCCAAGAGAGCCGAATTTTGCAGACCGAAAACAACAATCAAGAAACATCCCGACATCGTCGATCACTTAGCGGGGGATCACCTCAAAAAAATATATATAATATTTCCCCCGGAACAAAACTTTCCCAGCTTTTCAAACAGAAGGTCGGAAGATTTCGAGGAAAAGCGCGGGTTTCCGTCGTCGGCGAGTTGCAAGTAACGAACGGAAACAGCATGAGGGAAAACACCGTGAAAAAAGAAGCAGCCGTCATTCAGATAATAATTAACCTCGATTATTCCTCATACCTTAAAGGTATACCCAGAAATTCAAGTTACTGTATACTTCCGGTCGGGGATGGAAGGACTGCGACTGGGTTTATGGCTCCTACCGCCTACTTACTTTTAGCGTGCTAAAGCCTCGGCTAGGGGCTTAATTTCCACCTGAGAAAGACCTGCTACGGTCTGTTAAAACACTTACTAATGAATATAAATTATTGGCTCCCGAGCTACTAGGATTGCCCTCGTATTTTTCTTCTCCATCATTGGGTGAACAACGCTAGATTATTGAAACCTTTGAGTGGTTTTTCCCGCATTGCACACTTTAACGATTCGGCTTTACTTCTCCAATAAATTAAATAGCCGGGACAATTTGAAGGAGCTTTTAACAATCTGACATAATCGGTACTTTATTTCTTGATCGGAATTATCTTGAACATCCTCAAGTTTAGAGACCTGCTGTTTCTATGCGGGTGCTAATAATTTGAGAATCAATCATCCGCGTCCATGCAAAAACAGAAACGAGAGGAAAATAATGTGCGAAATATTGACTATTTTCTTGTGAATTCCCAAATTACCAGTCCCTTGATCTCTGAATGGATTCTTCAAAGAAAACTGTTCATCATTGAAAAATTAGGCCTAAACTGAACATCTCAGACATATATGAAGTATAATTACAATGAAACCGCGCTGACTTTCATATAATGAGGTTTTAATCGAAAATCGAAAATAAATTCAAAATGAGCTCCTTCCCACTTCTGATCTGTATCCGTGACCTTGTGGGGAATTTTCATCCGCATTCCATGTCAAATTATTTTATAATTTTGTCCTCAATGCGAGATTATACAGCGCTAAAATTCCGACTGGAATTAAACTGAAGACAAGTCAACNTCATACCTTAAAGGTATACCCAGAAATTCAAGTTACTGTATACTTCCGGTCGGGGATGGAAGGACTGCGACTGGGTTTATGGCTCCTTGGCGGATGAATGAAAATCGCACGATTTCGGAGCCGATCCCCGAATTAAAGGTGGACTCTTTCTGGACGATGCCAGACAATTTTGTGAATGATTACTTATATTTAATAACCGAGGGCTCGATGATCCCTTGCCCTCGTATTTTTCTTTTCCATCAATGAGTGAACAATAACGCTAGATTATTGAAACCTTTGAGTGGTTTTTCCCGCATTGCACACTTTAACGATTCGGCTTTACTTCTCCAATAAATTAAATAGACGGGACAATTTGAAGGAGCTTTTAACAATCTGACATAATCGGTACTTTATTTCTTGATCGGAATTATCTTGAACATCCTCAAGTTTAGAGACCTGCTGTTTCTATGCGGGTGCTAATTTGAGAATCAATCATCCGCGTCCATGCAAAAACAGAAACGAGAGGAAAATAATGTGCAAAATATTGACTATTTTCTTGTGAATTCCCAAATTACCAGTCCCTTGATCTCTGAATGGATTCTTCAAAGAAAACTGTTTGAAAACAGTATAGTTCAAGAAAACATCATTGAAAAATTAGGCCTAAACTGAACATCTCAGACATATGTGAAGTAAATTTACAATGAAACCGCGCTGACTTTCAAATAATGAGGTTTGAATCGAAAATAAATTCAAAATGATCTCCTTCCCACTTCTGACGACATAGGCACTGGAACACCCCTTAAAAGTAGGCGTAAGGTACAGTTTAATAAAATATTAAAACAGGAGTTACGCTCTAATATGTCGCGATTTTAAGGCTGACCTTAATTTGACTTCTGTTCAGTTGCAAGGGTAGCCTGATTTTTTCTTAAATTGTGAATTGGAAGCAGATACACAAAAAATACCAGATAATATATTCCTCGAGAACCCCGCTTATTTTAATAGCTTAGCTAACCGAACATACTGCAAAATGAGCATTACTTGGCCTTGAATTCCGATATCGGTTTTTTATATTTTATTTTATTCGCTCTTTCGATGAGCTTCCATATCTTTAGGGCTGAAAAACTTTCATCGTAAAAAAAACTTTTAAAACTCCCTTTTAACTCGAATTGCAAGCATTTGATGAAACTTTCCATCACATACAGTTTAAAATTGGTAACTTAAATCTCTCCAAGCTGAATACCTTCTTATTTCGAACTTCTTTGTATCCCTCTTTGAAGACGTTAAGAAAAATTTCATGAAAAACCTCCCAAATTCAAAGGCTTTCCTTCGTGAAGTTCCATTACTCGAATTTTCCGGATGTCCTTTTTTATTGTCTCAGGAAGGATGAAAGCACAAAAAAATTTGATTTAATGATTTTCGAAAGACAGCGGAAGACTAATGAAATAAGAAATTTCCCGTAAATGTTACTTCTTATTTATTTTTGAAAAATCCAATCAAATGCTTGCCTCCTTACTTACAACCCGTTTAATACAGTACCTCAAACTTTACTGCTAATGTTTTGAAGTTTGACTTGAAAGAGGTTTCAACTGTGCTGTACTTCAAATTGCAGATAAAGTTGAGCAAGGGTGGAGATCAGAATCAGAATAGTTTTCGCGACCACAAGTGCTCGCAGCAGCAAGTGTGGCCCGCAGTGTACAAGCCCGGTGACATCGTCAGGGGTGTCGTTGAAACGAACTTTGACAGCGTCACCTGCGACACCAAAGACGGTATCTGGGTGATTGTTCAGGGTGTCGGAGTGGTGCACGATCGACGCTGTGGACAGCGACGACCAACGCTTGGGTAGCAACAGAGCCCGATGCCCTGAAACGGGTCCAAGACCACGGAGTTAGGACCCCTTGCCCACCTCCAAATGGACTTTGAGTTCCATTTCGAGCCTTCGTTATACATGCTCCCAATGACAGTCAGAATTATATTTAGAGCCATCATTTTAACTACTGTATGTGGCAATAAGCACTGCATGAATGCACTAGAATGGTGGTCTGCAACCTGTGGTCTGCAAAAGTTGTTTGCCAATCTGCAGAACATTTTCTTCAGCACAATAAGTCCATCAAAAGTAGCAATGAAATTTGTTTTCTTTATCTGAAATTTTGGGAGGACAATGGCAGTTGAAATTACCTGAGGAAAAACAGAAGTTGGCTTTTCTCAAGGAAGCACTTCAGAAAATTTTCCAAATGCTGAAATAAATTATTTCAAGCATTCATTCTAAAATATCTTTCTTGAAGCAAAGCTTTCCAAATTTTTGAAAACATTTCTCTGTAGCTGCTTCATTGGTTCTTGACTCAATTTTTGTAATAAAATTTTTGGTTTCAGAACTTTATGACAGGTATTTAACAAAATGTCTGCTGGTCTGAAAAGATTTTTTTGGACTTTATCAGTCTACAAAACTTGAAAAAAGGAAGGCTGGGGATCATTGCTCTATATCAATAAGCATGTTCTCTTTGCTTTCTTTTTTTTTGTTGGGAAGAACAAGTTGTTCAAAAATAATTCCTCCAACTAAAACTTTACTTTTTGTACAACCCTGAGGGGATTCCCCAACAACTCACTCAATTATAAATTGAATAGTGAGAACTCATGCAGCAAAAATTCACCAAATATAATTACTTGTCAAGTTCATTATGTTTACAAAGCTCTTGATTAGTGTTTCCTTTTCTGTAGCCAAGTGACAAAGCATCTGATGTTGAACAGTGACCTAGCCTTCTAATCTTCAACATTATTGATTTCTGACAAGTACAGTTGAACCTCGCTAAGTCAAACCTCACTAAGACAAATGCCTCCCTAAATCAAATTTTTTTTCAAGTCCCTGTCTGGATTCCCTTAGAAGCAATGCATTAAAAATCTCCCTGACTCAAAGTATTTTTCTCTCAAACCTCTGTAAGACAAAATGTCTGAGGCTTCTTGGTTATTATTTCCTTGAAATTTGAAAGAGAACATCAATAAAACAAATAATTTTTTGCATCTTGAAATGAAGTGATAGACTAATTGAATAAATGAACCCCTGCCTCCAAGTTCAGCAAGCTGTAAGCTCATGAAGAAAAAAGTGTAGGCCCAGAATATCCTTGTCTATAATTCCCCACACTTTTTTACTTTCCCTTGCAGCACTCAAAACCTTAAAAAATCAAATCCTCCCAAAGTCAAAATTTTTTTCCTGGTCCCTAGAAATTCAACTTGAAGAGGTTCAACTGTAATTTGGAAGAAAATGCATTAATGGGCATGAACATTATGAAAGAAATGTACTGCAGAGAAAATTCCTGGAAGTTTTTCTTGTGTGTATGTGAAACAAATGTAAGGAGACATTTTTTGGAAGAAAAAATGCTTGCCTGGCATCAATCATACCATTTATTTAAGGATGCATTCAAAAAATTAGCATAAGCATAAGATTATAAAATTTTTTTAAATGAGGAACTGAAAAATTTAGATTTTAATTCTGGTGAGGTGTTGCTGTGCAAGTTGCTATATAACCCCCGTGGGAGATGATTTTTTGGTTTATCAGAAGGCCCTCTGGCAACCATCTAGACTGACAAGTACTTGGCAGACGTGCACATCATCCCCGCCATCAGAGACCCACGTGCAGCCCTTGTCCAAGTCCCTTTTCCCAGACTTTGGTTCTCAAACCTTGAGCACCACTCGGTCCACCACTGTGAGTGCCACCACCAAGTCCTCGACAACTAGGTGTGTGGCGTCCGGAAACCAGTTTCTTGACACTTTGGTTTTACGGCCCTGTTGGAGGGATAATTTGCTGTTTACAGGCGCGTCCCGGGACGCGCCAATTAACAAAGACTCGTAATTTCTGAACTTCCTCTGTTTTCAGAAAAAATTCCGCACAAGAAATGTACTCCACAGAAAATTCCTGGAAGTTTTTCTTGTGTGTATGTGAAACAAATGTAAGGAGACATTTTTTGGAAGAAAAAATGCTTGCCTGGCATCAATCATACCATTTATTTAAGGATGCATTCAAAAAATTAGTAAGCATAAGATTATAAAAATTTTAAAAATGAGGAACTAAAAAATTTGGTTTTTAATTCTGGTGAGGTGTTGCTGTGCAAGTTGCTATGTAACGCCCTTGGGGGATAATTTTTTGGCTCATCAGAAGGCCCTGTGGCAACCATCTAGACTGACAAGTACTTGGCAGACGTGCACATCATCCCCGCCATCAGAGACCCACGTAGTCGGGAACAGGTTCAGGGAAAAGGGTCTGAAACCAAGAGTTTGGAACTCGTGGTGAGCCAGGTGGTGACACTCACGGTGGTGGTTCAGGAGCTGTTGATCCACACACCGCAGGCCTTTGGTCAAAGCGGCTCGTGAGAAGTTGCGTTTTGAGTGCACATTGCCGGCGGCGAATTTGCCGCAGACGTTTTTTGGGACCTATGGCAAGATTAGCTACTGGATCATTGCCCTGGTACAGGGAGAGAAACCCATATGGACCATGCAGAAGATTGTGGTGCTGGCCAAGCAAGGTGGTGAAATAGCTGAGGAGGATTTGCAGAAGCATGAAGCGTTCTCAGACTTTCATTTGAAGTAACTATTTCTGCTGCTTATTGGTAGAATCTGCTGATTTAATTTGATTAATACACATCGTGTGGCCTTGGACCGTTTTGTTACGTTATTCATATAAGGTCTTACCGTAACCATTAGTAATATCGTCCTTTAAAAAATACACCTAGTGACAAATTTTTAAAGTGTTGTTTTTTGGATCCTTGTATATTTTCTAATTAAGTTTCTTTTACCAAAATTCAATTAATATTTTGGCTCTTGGACAGGAATATTCTGAAACACTATTCCCCAACCCATGGTCTAGACCACAGGAAAAATTTTGTCAAAGTAATAAATTTATCAAAAGCAGTAAAGAAGGCTGTTATGATTATCCAAGGTTTTGGAAAAACACTGGCAGTTGAAATCACCTAATGAAAATTAAAAGTTGGATTTTCTCCCAACAGCACTTCAGACAAATTTTCACAGATGAAATAAATTATTTAATTTTTCTTTCTAAGAAACCTTTCTTCAAGCCCACCTTTCTAATTTGTGATAACTTCCAGCTAATAACTGATTTCTTGGTGCTTAACTGAATTTTGAAACATAGCAGAAACTCTTGAATACCTGTCCACCGCTGTCTTTCAAGAAAAATATTTGCTAGTCTGCACAAATGTTATGAAACTTTTCTGGTCTGCAGAATTTTTTGGGAATTTGCTGGTTCTAGGGCCCAAAAAGGTTGGGGTTCTAAAATAATTTTTGTAATTAAATTCAACCAGTGTTCCTCAAACGTTTTGGGACTGCGGACTGGCAAATTTCCAAGAAATATTTCAGACTGGCAAATTTTGCTCAAATGAGTTTATGGCAGGCATTTGAAAGTTTTCCATGGTTCTGTAAAAAAAATAATTTGAGCACCAATGAAGCAGCTACATAGGTTATTGTGTTCCAAAATTTAGGAAGGTGGGCTTGAGGAAAGGTTTCTCAAGATGAAAAATTGAAATAAATTATTTCAGCATGTGAAAAATTGTCTGAAGTGTTGGGAGAAAAGCCAACTTTTTTCATCAGAAAATTTCAACTCAAATTTCAACAGACATCATTTCTACTTTTGATAAATTGATTTTATTGCAGAAAATTTCCCCAAGATTGGCGAAAATCTTCAGTGGACCTGTACTAGTCTGTGGACCTGGGTGGTGAACACTGGACTAGACTATGCTTAAAATCTAATCCCTAATCTTAACTTTGCATTCACTTGTCCACGCAATTTTCAGCAGTTTACTTGAGTTGAAGTTTGCTAAGCCACCTTGTCTATAAAAATGCTCCATACAATTTGTAATTAATGTTTTAGATTTTTAATTAGATCATGGTACTCTTTGTATAGTAGAGTGCTGCATAACCTTGATTATGTTGACGATAAACCTGGTTTATTAATTATTTATCAAAATTGACAGAAGAAGCTGTCAAGGCTACTTGTGAAAGTTGGTCGAACATTCAGCTGAAAAGAACGAATGGATTTTCAAGTATGAAGCGATGAAGCATGTTCTGAATTTACAGAGCAAAAATTTTCAAAACTCTCCCTCATCATTGTAGATCAGCTCCCAAACTCAAGCCATGAAGAAAGAAGTGCATGTTGATTTATCATGTGATGTTCATCTCGTCGCAATCAATGATGAACTCGGAATTAGATTTAATCAGTCGTGTCTTAATATATGGATATAAATATCGTTGCAATCCTGGACATTAGAATTGGCTGTCAGACTTGAGTGTGTCACTTTTTTTTAAACAACCCCTATAATATGGTATAGAACTGAGGCGCAATAGGCACAAAACCTTAGCATCAAAATGTTTCATCAATTTTCTCAAGGAGTTTTAAAGAGACTCATTTTTTCTCCCAATATTAACCTGTAGTCGTTACGATTGTAAATCCTGTTCTTTTTCAACACTCAAGGTCTTTCCGTCTTTTACGCGGACGCAAAACCTATACTGCATCTATGGAACTCATTCGTACAGAAATGTTTAGAGTCATGCCAAAAGTAATAACTTTAATAAGAGAGAGGTAGGATTTATATTTTCCGGTTAACTGCGTTCTAGCACCCGCACGTACTCCCAATATTTTCTACAGCCACGATTTCACTCGTGACCAGACTGCCGAAAAACGAACTAAATGTTCATTTTTAAATGTTTTATGGTTCCACAGCTGTTGCCTCAGAAGCAAAGGAGTGGTCGAAATAGTTGTGAAGTTGCCAAGGATAGCATTCGCAGTGGGGGAATGTATTCCTGTGACCACGGAAATAACAAATTCGACCAAGTACAACATCACTGGCTGCAAACTTTCCCTGTTCCAGGTGAGCGAAACCTTTAAAGAAAAAGGTCAATTGGGATCCTTGAAAGATGAAAAAAAAAGTTTGCGTCAATAAAACACTTCTTGTGACAAATTCTGCTTGGAACAAAGTTGGTCATCAGTTAAAAAAAAAAAAACCAGAAACCCTAGTTTTCCTTCTTGGCTTCCATAGGGTGCACATTAATATGTTTCTGCCACCCATTAATTTGTACAATAGAATTTTGTATAAAGCGTTTGAGACCTTATGAAAAAGCTTCGTTATAAAAAAAAATCTTTAGAAAAAAATTAAAAGAGAGTTGTGGCTATTGGACAGGGATAAAAAATAATAATTTGCCATAAGTATTGATTTTTATGACAAGAATTGTTTTAAGGATATTTTACTGTATATTTATAATTTATTATCTGTAATGGGATTCAAGAATACTGTACACACAATTTTAAAACATTGGCAAGGAATGTTTGTGCTCAAGTTTGAGGCACATTCCAATTTTCATTCCTAACTTGTTGATGGGACAAAGTACAGTATGCACGGTAATCAAGTAATTACAGGAAATATTTAGCAGTACTGTACAGTCAATCCTCTCCAAGTCAAATTTCAAGATACCAGGAAAAAATTCAACTTGAAGAGGTTTTGAATCCTAGAGCTTTGAGCTACAATACAAAGCCCTTCAGGGAAACATAGAAAAATTTTGAAAAATTGTAAATGGTGATATTCTGGGGCTTAAATTACTTCTCAAATTAATGAGTTGAAAGTACAGTATGCTGAAATTGTAGGCAGGGGTTCATTTGCCCAATTAAGTGTTTCACCTCCTTTTGTAACACGTCAATTTCTGTCTTTATTGCGGTTTTCTTTCTTGTGTCAAGAAAATAATAGCCAACAGGCCACAGAAAATTCAACTGACGTAGGTTTGAGGGGAAAAGACTTTGACTTGGGGGAGATTTTTAATGTAATGTTTCTACGAAGATTCAGACAGGGACCTAAAAAAAATTCAACTTGAGGGTGTATAGGGAGGTTTGAGTTATGAAGATTCAATTGTATTTTATGGGCTTCTTTGAGTGGTGTTGCATTGGGATACCAAACATGATCAGGACTTGTTCTTCGCGGTTTTTTTATTCTCTTAGTACATGATAACGGCGCTACTGCGACCGTTTCTTCTTTTTGCCTTACACGACTGTCACGGTCACCTGCCCTTGTTTGGCACCTCAGTGGTCTGCGCCCGCAGAGAGTAAACCGAGGTGGCCAAACTGGTTCTTTCTGAATTTGGCAGCTGCGGAAATCCGCCATCCCTCATTGCGCTCGACTATTGGCTCGAATTTCAAGTCAAGGCCGATTCCCGGGTTTTCGAAACCCAACGACTGATTGTGCCAATCAAGATTTGCACCAGCGTCGATCCTGGCGCTGAGGCCGTCAATACAGGAAATCACGTGACTCGGACGAAAATCGAAAGCCCGAAGAGGGTTTAACTCGACGAAAATTGTTCCCTTTTTTTTTTCTTTCATCTCATTTTTAAAATTTGTTTTTGCTTCTGAGGAATTCATTTGAAACGTTTATCTTCTTACAATTCTGTGGGTTCTGAAAATACGTTTGACTCGAAACTTTGAATGATGGTCGTCGGGTTATTAATTTCGCCTTTGAGAATATTTGTTTTGCAAATTTGTTTGGCAGTTGCTGAGGGTGGCGGCTTTTTGGGGGCCATCTTCAGTTGGTCAGATTGTATGGGGTATGATAGGAATTAGACACCGTGCGGACTTATTGAGTGTTTTCGGTGGAATTTGTTTTTTAATTTCCATTTTTAAAGCCTGCTTTCTCATAGCTTGTGCACAAATGATATGATCATCTCATTTTTCGAAGAAAAGAAATCAACTAAAAATTTTGAAAAACGTCTACTATATTACATTTTTCTCCAGCTTTGGGAATGACGAAAATTGCAGACTGATAAATTCCGACAGAATTTTTTAAAACGAGGACTACTCGAGAGGAAGAAAGAGGCCAATTAAAACGTCCGAAGGAAATCCTTCATTAATTTTGATTGTTTTGTTTTTTTTTGCCCGACACCGTCAACATTTTCCAACTGTTAGCTTTCATGTTGAACAAAAGATGTTGCTTCGGAGTAAATATTTACCGAACCCCACAATATACCAGGAAGTATCAACAAGACGCAGCCTGTTTCACGGCTATTAACAGGGCAATCAAGTCAAGAATCCGCACAGTCATTCCCGATCAGACCATGAAAACTGGCACAAAGCCTGGAATCTATGATAGCAAACGAACATCTCTTTCATCCCAGACGAGGTAAACGTGCTGCATCATGGCCAGGGTAACTCGCCGAGACTGTGTCACAATGTCTGACATCCAGTTGATTGACCTACACTTGAGTTCAGTTTTTTTTCTTGTGGGGTCTCGTCTGAGTGTTGTAATCTTGTGTAGCCTTCAAATTTCCGCATTTTTCATCGAAACAATATATTTTTATGTTCTTCCCTAAGTTGGTACACCCAAAGGATACCTTGTGTTAAAACCTTTACACGAGTTTTAATATCAAACTTGGAAAAAAGGGTTTATCAAGACACATAACTTTCCGTAAGAAACTATAGTTCAGAGCCTTCAGGATTTGTTCAAGTACAGTGAGACCCCAATATGTGGACGTAATTGGTGCATAAAGAGTGTCCATAAGTCAAAATGTCCCTAAGTTGAGTCTCATTTTCCCTTAGACTTACAGCATTATATAATTTTTAATGTGTGTTTTATGAACAAAATACTCAATACAGTAATTCCATTTTTTTAAATTGTCCCAATCGGAACTGATTCAATCAATGTATTTCAACACAATATGGACATTTGGGGAATTGAATACTGTACTGACACATCTCTGCACAGTACATAGAAATGTTTGCATTCTCTGTCAAAATCAAATTCAAGTGAAAAAGAGAAAAAGGAAGTCTCTCTATGCTGGAGGTAATTTTTTTTAATTAGCTAAGCAGATGGTAAATTTGTGAAAGAATTGCCCAGGAACTTTTCTGGGCAATAGATGGAATTGAAACCATCTATTGCCGTTAAACTAGCCGCAATAGATGTTAGCGCCTATTAATTGCGGCTAGTTTAACAAATATTAACTACCCTTTCCATATACCACTGCTTTTCTGAGTCCAAGTCACTCAAAAACAATTCATGCAGAAATATTTTGTAGTTTGAATTTATTAATTTCATCATGTATCTCTTAATCAAGTCATTCGTTATGCAGGGATACACTGCCACACGGTAAAATAAAATAAAATTTAAAAGCCGTGTCCTGAACTGGGAGAGTTTTTTACTATGTTTTCGTCGTCTTGCTCCATCGATCTTCAACCTCCAAAAATGTCATTATACATCCTTGATTATAACATTACAAGAAGGGATTCAACCATGTGGGTTTCCTATGGAACACAATTTTGGAAATGTGCTCAAAATTATAGTTTGAACCTTTTTTCCCAAATAGTTCTGTGTATTGAAAGGCATTCTTTGATATCAAGTCAGCCTTCAGGATATGTTGAAGTACAGTGAGACCCCAAGATGTGGACGTAATTGGTGCATAAAGGATGTCTTAAAGTCAAAATGTCCGTAAGTTGAGTCTCATTTTCCCTTAGACTTACAGCATTATATAATTTTTAATGTGTGTTTTATGAACAAAATACTCAATAATTCCATTTTTTTAAATTGTCCCAATCGGAACTGATTCAATCAATGTATTTCAACACAGTATGGACATTTGGGGATTTGAATACTGTACTGACACATCTCTGCACAGTATATAGAAATGTTTGCATTCTCTGTCAAAATCAAATTCAAGTGAAAAAGAGAAAAAGGAAGTCCCTCTATGCTGGAGGGAATTTTTTTTTTACTTAGCTAAGCAGATGGTACATTTGTGAAAGAATTGCCCAGGAACTTTTCTGGGCAATAGATGGAATTGAAACCATCTATTGCCGTTAAACTAGCCACAATAGATGTTAGCGCCTTTTACTTGCGGCTAGTTTAACAAATATTAACTACCCTTTCCAATATACCACTGCTTTTTTGAGTCCAAGTCCCTCAAAAACAATTCATGCAGAAACATTTTGTAGTTTGAATTTATTAATTTCATCATGTATCTCTTAATCAAGTCATTCGTTATGCAGGGATACACTGCCAAACGGTAAAATAAAATAAAATTTAAAAGCCGTGTCCTGAACTGGGAGAGTTTTTTACTATGTTTTCGTCGTCTTGCTCCATCGATCTTCAACCTCCAAAAATGTCATTATACATCCTTGATTATAACAATGCACAACAACATTGCAGATGTAAACAAGTTTCTCAAAGAAAACATTAAAAGCAGAACCCCAAACAGCAAAATAAAAAAATAAAATAAAAAGTTGGAGGAAGTGGGGCGAATTTATTCATTTGGCGAGGAAAAAGTAGTCGGCGCTACGCGGGCGCCTTTCAGCTGCGGACGGAAATTGCATTCTCTGATGATGGCGAATCATCCCTCAAAATTAGTGACTGCTAGTAACCATTCCCGGGACAGAGTAATAGTGGCTAATTGGATCAGATTGCGCCTCACCCGGAGACAAACGCCAGGAATTTCGCCCCGAGTCTCTGGCACCCCGCCAACTTACGCGACCGCATTCAAGAGCCCCACGGAAGGAAGCTCAAGTGGTTCCCTCGCACCTCACCTCAGCTCCTTTGTGGTCTACTTTAAACCAGTGTTTCTCTAACCTTTTTGTGCCCATGGACCAGCAAAATTTCTTACAATATTTGGCGGACCAGCAATTTCTCAAAAAAATTGTCTGTGGACCGGTAAAGTTTCATAAAATGTTCACAGACTGTAAAAATTGTTGCTTGGTAGACTTTATAGCTGGTGTATAAAAGCTTCTGCTTCTTGCAAAAATTAAGTTTAGCACCTATGAAACAACTATAGCTGAAAATCATCAAAAACTTGGAATTAAAAGTGAAAATTGAAATAATTTATTTCAGCAGGTAAAAATGAGTCTCAACCACTGTTACTGTATTAGGATAAAAGCAACTTTCATGTTTCATCAAATCCTTTCAACTGCCTGTCTTTCCAAAGTTTTAGATATAGATAACAGAATCCAAGGGCTACTTTTAATAACTGTCTTATGCTGAAAATTTCCCAGTAATTGGCAAAAAAACTTCTGAGGACTGGCACCAGTCTGCAGAAGCTTTTTGCTGGTCCGCAGGAAATTTTCAGGATAATGCAGTACAGTAAATGCATCAGAAGTTGCAATGAAGTCTGTTATTGTTATCAGATGGTTTGAAAAGACAATGGCAGTTGAAATTATCTGATCAAAATAAAAGTTGGCTTTTCCCTTAACCACACTTGGGAATAATTTTCACCTGCTGAAATAAATAATATCAAGTTTTCCTTCTGGGAAACCATTTTTTAAGCCCTGCAGCTTTCTAATTTTTTTAAGACATTGCACTATAGCTACTTCACTGCTTCTTAACTTAATTTTTGAAATAAAAGTTTTGTTTGGAAGACTGTATGAGAGTTGTTAGAATTTTTTCTGGCAATCTGCAAAAATTTTATGGAATGCCGCTGGTCTGCAGAAAATGTTATGGAAATACAGTATGCTGGTCTGCAGAAAATTGCAAGAAAATTTGCTGGTCCATGGGTCCAAAATGATTGGGAAATACCATAGAAAATACAGTAGAATCTTGTTGCAAGGAATCTCATTGCAAAGAGTTCTTATGGTTATGGAAAATTTTTCCTTTATTTTTTGGGTCACTTCTGAATATCTACAATGTCATCAGAATAACCTCATGTCAACAGCAGGTAAACCTGTTTAAAGAAAAACTTTAAAGGACCTACAAACATTTGAATTGGAAGTTTTCCAGTTAGGAAACCCAGTTTTTTTTTTTTAAAGAATGGCACAAAGAAAAAATAGGGCCTCTGGGCCTTAAACTGCATTGTAAACCATGAGTTGATAGGATAAGTTGAAATTGGAGGAAAGGACTCCCTCACTGAGTTCCTTTTCAAAAGCATCAAGTTGAATTTTTATTGATTTTTTTCTACTCTGGGCCCTCTGCATAATAGCCCAAATTCATCTGTAAATTCCAGTTACAGAGGCTTCTAAGGGGAAATTCATTGAACTGGAACTGTCTATCAATTTTTTTTGGGGGGGGGGGGAATTGAGGAATTCACACAGGGACTAAGCAAACATTCAATGCACACAGGGAAGTTTTTGACTTGGTGAGATTTGGAATATGAATGTCCAATTGTGAGAGAAAACTTTTTTCCATGTCACAATTAATGACATTGTTGTGACAAGGTTTTAGTTTATATATCAAGAGTATACAGTACTGTATACAATATTCTGTAAAGAAACATG